TGCAGAGGAGGAGGTCGTGCGGGGGCGGTTCTCTTCTTTTTTTTTTGACTGCGGGGCGAGTGCGGGGCGATTAGCGATCGATCGTGGCTTGTTGCGTGGTTGGTAGCGTTAAACACAGAATGATTAAGGGCCATTAGATTTTGATGATGAATGGGTGTGATTGTTTGGATCTGCCCCTTTCTTTTTTTTATAGTAGTAGTAGATGTATGAGAGTGTGCGTAAAAGAAATTTTTTTTGCCAGCCGTTGGTATCCGAGCACGCGATTTCTTCCTATCCACAATATTATCCCTCCCCTCTTCGTCCGGAAACCCTCCAGTCCAGTATCCGTCGTTCCCCCTCGCCATCGTCCCGCGCCCCGTCCATGGCCACCGCCACGCTCCCTCTCCGCCTCCTCCCCTCGAGAACCCCACTCCTCTACACCGCCGCCTTCCTCCCTGCGAGCACCTCTCTCTCGGTCACCGCGTCCGCGCCCCGCAACTGGCGCATCTTCGCCGCCGCCGAGGAGGCGCCCGCTCCGGTGGAAGCCGAGGCGGAGGAGGTGGTAGAGGATGCCGCGGTTCCGGAGCCTGTTGAGGTGCAGCTGGCTGCTGCTGGCGCGGGGAAGGACGCCGACATCTTCGCCGTTGTCATGGTGGGTTAGCTCGCACGTTCACTCACTAGCATCCAAAGTTGCAGTTTGGTCAAAATAAACTGGAAATTACTAAGGCCTTCTTTGGGCTTCATTAGCTGCTGTTTCGTAAATAGTCTCCGTGACTTAAATACCACTTGAGCTTTATATATGTCTTGTGGTGAATTAAAGATTCCAGGTTTCGTTGGGACTGCAGTGCTGCACCAGAGATGGTTAGGCTGTATCATGATTCATGAATACTACTCCCTCTTTTCGGGATTATAAGACCCACGAGTTTTTTCTAGATTGTCAAATTCACCAAAGAAATGCGAGTTATATGCCACAAAAAGATATAACATTGAATTCGTATTTGTGAGAAGTTTCTAATGGTATGCTTGTAGTGGCATATATATGATACTCCCTACGTCCGGAGATACTTGTCGGAGGAATGGATGTATCTAGACGTATTTTAGTTTTGGATACATCCATTTTTATCCATTTCTCTGACAAGTATTTCTAGACGAAGGGAGTATAATATAAGTTGTATTTCACAGGTCAAAAAGATCTGAAAATACGTGCAAGCATTTTAAACCGGAAACAATGGAGTAAGAGAAATGTGCACACTTCTCACTAGGATGTGCATGCCGCAGTGTTAGAAAGAAAATTGGAACTATTTAACATTAGTATTACAATGAATTATCTGGGTGCACTTTAAAAAAATGCTGAACCTGCAAAGATGCGTCGTTGGAGAGTTTATGTTTTTTCTACTTCTTATAGGTATTGTGATTAATGAGGAAACTATTTTGACTATAATTTTCTGTTGTGCAGATTGGGTCCAGACAATACATTGTGATGCCAGGTCGGTACATATACACACAGAGGCTGAAAGACGCCAATGTCAATGATCAGGTTTAGTGCTTGTCCTTCTATACATAATTTTTTTTTAGGACTCCCAAGTTGATGTCTGACTGTTTGTAAGACTTCGGGTAATGCTTTTGCCATGTTGCATGGTTTCCTCCAGCATGTTTGGATGAGAAAAAAAAATCCTTTGGAGAATTACCTTACTGCGTTGTTGTTCTTATAAAAGGTCTCTCATTTTGGTACTTGTTCTTTGGTTTGCTCATTGGTCTTGATGTGGCTATGCACACATGGTTACGGAAGTAACTCATACATTACGTGTTTGTTCATTTAGTTTACTTAGTCCATGAAAATATGGAATTAGCATGCAACCCCACACATTCATATGGATCCTTGGCATGCTTTTGTATCTTTGAGATAACTCCCATATAATGTTTGATGCACAGATCATTTTGAACAAGGTACTACTGGTGTCAACTAGAGACAAAGCTTATATTGGCATGCCAGTGGTGACCAATGCTGCTGTTCATGCAATTGTTGAAGAACAGGTATGCCTTATGCATGATGTGAGATTAATAATGAATATACAAAATTAGCTTACACTGGTTTCTCCCCATTATTTGTTCAATAGGGACTGGACGATAAAGTGATTGTTTTCAAGTTCAAGAAGAAGAAGAAGTACCAGAGGAAAGCTGGTCACAGACAGGTAAGTATGTCTAGTTTGTGTCCCATTGAAGGTGGAAATATACTAGCATAGTCATAAGAACTGACTTAGTTTTGACATTCCCAACTCCAAAACAATATGAGTTCTTATAATTTTCTGTTCTTCGACAGCCAAATACGAGGTTAAGAATTACCGGCATAAGTGGATATGAGGAATTCCCTGCTGATCCAATACTTCAAGTTCCAGCTTAAGTGTAATTGTAAGTTGTTTAGTTACAAATGCTTGGTATTACATTAGAGTGCAAGAGCATTTTCCCCACTGTTCCCCAAGTGAGGCTCTTCCCCAAGTTAATGTACTCGAAATGCTGCCATTCGTTGAGTGGTTGGTTCCATCCTTTTGTTTATTCCACCAGCTCTTGTCTTCCTTTGAAATCCAATTGTATTATCTTGATTGTGCAGAAAGACAGGGGAAAGCATTTAATTACAATGTGGACATGTTAGCTTTGGATTGTGCAATTTCAGAGTTGTTGAGGCCCGCACTACGGCCCAGTTCTTTTGCCAGATTCTCCCAGAATCTAACCCCTGCCCAGATTCTCCCAGAATCTTTGAGCCCCATTTGTTTTACAATCCTATCTAGTTAGGGTCTAATTAGGTAGGATTGTAAAACAAAAGGGGGTCAAAGATTCTAGGAGAAGCTAGAGGGGCAGATTCTGGGAGAATCCTGCAAAAGAACTAGGCCTACATAACATTGCTACCTGCAAAAGAACTAGGCCTACATAACATTGCTAATATTACTATCTGTTTTCCTAAATCTAATCTGAATTTGTTTAGCTCTTTATTGTCATAGTATTATTTCTGGTTGTGGTTTTGCAGAAATCTTACCACTTTTAAGTCCATGAGAGAGACAAACAATGCCCGTGGCCTAGACACGTTTTTTGTAGTACCTGTCATTACATTCTTTTAGGCAGCTCTGACTTGAGTAGTCCTAGTCTTTAGACTTCTCTAGGCCAAGTTGAAACTTCTCTCAGGGTAAAGCTGCAGAAAACTGGATTTGGTCACAAGTAATCCGTCGCGGTGGCCACTTCACTGAAGAGAAAATTTGGTGACTGTCTAAATGCAGACACCTAATATAACACCCCAGATTTCATTTCCAACCTGATGGTGCTAGCACACTACCTAAAGCCACAAGTCCGAGAGTAATTAGAAACTTCGACACTGCTCCGACCTGCTGTAGTGGTACATGAGGACATTGTTATAGTGGTACACGAGCCATGCTTGCTCATGGTGAGTTGCACGGCGACGGACCCTTCACCTGTAACTACTCTTACGGGACCCACAAACTTGTACTTCTCCTGGAGCCAATGCTCGCGATGATTCGCTCCACAGTCCCTGGCTTGTTGGTGTATACCATCTCCAACACAGTTGTGCCATGAGCAGTCATGTGGTGGGTCCTCGTTGTTGGGTCCTCGTTGTTTGTTTCCCGTCGTCCATGGCTGCAAAGAGGGGTGGGTTGGGGTTAGGCTGGTCATAGTGGGGAGTAACTTAGACTAGTAACATACATATGTTACTAGTCTATGTTACTATCTTCATAGTGGGTAGTGTCATAGGTGTGGTAACATAGTTGCCTTCATTTATTACTTTGTAGACTCATTATGCATTGGAAACCGCTATGTGATGGTAACATATTATGTTACTCTATTTGCCTCTCTCCTCATTAACTACTTGCCACATCATCATTTTTGCTTATGTGGCATCTATGTTACTACTTATGTTACTCCCACTATGACCAGCCTTATGGGCGGAAGACAAGGAACGAGCCAGAAGAAGAGATAAGGCTGGTCATAGTGGGGAGTAACTTAGACTAGTAACATACATATGTTACTAGTCTATGTTACTACCTTCATAGTGGGTAGTGTCATAGGTGTGGTAACATAGTTGCCTTCATTTATTACTTTGTAGACTCATTATGCATTGGAAACCGCTATGTGATGGTAACATATTATGTTACTCTATTTGCCTCTCTCCTCATTAACTACTTGCCACATCACCATTTTTGCTTATGTGGCATCTATGTTACTACCTATGTTACTCCCACTATGACCAGCCTAAATGAAGGACGCGTCTAGCGGGCAAATAGCTGCCCGTTAGTGCTGCATCTGCATGGCGGTCGGCTATTTTAAGAATTATTTTGTCCCTCTTCTTAATTAACTATCCTAATTAAAAAAGTTTTTCACATGGTCTTTAAATGTTTGCACAACATCCCTTCGGTGCATGCGTTTTATTCTTTGGTGTATTTAATTTGTGGTTTCAAAAACTAAAAAAAGCATAACTTTCCATTCACGTGTCGGAATTAAGATCCGTTTTCACCGCTGGAATTCTCGCGATGTGCTTTTTGAAACTAGATCCCGCACGGATATGTTTTGACAAACCTTTTTTTTGTGTAATTTTGTCTCTGTTTTGTGCAATTGACTAGCCGTCGATGTGCAACTACCTGACATAGATGTGCAACTTTCCTCGTACACCATAGACGTGCCGTTTTCCTCTATGGTACCTCCATCTCAAATTGCCTGCTTTCTGTGAGATGTGCAACTACGTTTGTTGCTCAGGCCATGCAATTTTCATTAGTGACACCACCCGGTACTACTCTTCGACAGTGAAATATGCAATTTCGTCTGCTGCCCTGGTACCCTAGCCAACTGCCTGGTAGACAGTTGTGCAACTGTGTGGCCATGCATATGCGACCGTGCTAACAAGAGTGTGCAATTCCGTGGCCATGCATCAGCACCTCCCACGACAATTCATGTCTGACTATGCGGACGAGATTGTGCAATTCATGTGCAACTGTGCCGACGAGAGTGTGCAACCCTGCGGCATGCGTGAGCACCTCTCACGTCAATTTATGTGCGACTACGTGCACGAGATTGTGCAACTCTATAGCCATGCATGTGCGACTATACCGACGAGAGTGCAACTCCGCGGCCGGGCGTGACCAGCTCCCATGACATTTCATGTGCGACTGTGGACAAGATCGTGCAACTCCGTCGCCATGAATTGTCGTGGGAGGTGTTCACGCATGGCCGCGGAGTTACACACTCTTGGGGTTATGGGCGGAAGACAAGGAATGAGCCAAGAAAAAGAGATAAATGAAGAACGCGTCTAGCGGGTAAATAGCTGCCCGTTAGCGCTGCATGGCGGTCGGCTATTTTAAGAATTGTTTTGTCCCTCTTCCTAATTAAGAAAGCTTTTCACATGGTCTTTAAATGTTTGTACAACCATCCCTTCGGTGCGTGTGTTTTATTCTTTGATGCATTTAATTCATGGTTTCAAAAACTAAAAAAAGCATAACTTTCAATTCGCGTGTCGCAATTAAGATCTGTTTTCACCGCTGGAATTCTCGCGATGTGCTTTTCGAAACTAGATCCCGCATGGATATGTTTTGACAAAACTTTTTTTGTGTAATTTTGTCCCTGTTTTATGCAGCTGACTAGTCGTCGTTGTGCAACTACCTGACATAGATGTGCAACTTTTCTCGTACACTGTAGACGTGCCGTTTTCCTCTATGGTACCTCCATCCCAAACTGCCTGCTTTCTGTGAGATGTGCAACTACGTTTGTTGCTCAGGCCATGCAATTTTCACTAGTGACACCACCCGGTACTACTCTCCAACAGTGAAATATGCAATTTCGTTTGCTGCCCCGGTACCCTAGCCAACTGCCTGGTAGTCAGTTGTGCAACTGTGTGGCCATGCATATGCGACCGTGCTGACGAGAGTGTGCAACTCCGTGGCCATGCATCAGCACCTCCCATGACAATTCATGTCTGACTATGCGGACGAGATTGTGCAATTCATGTGCAACTGTGCCGACGAGAGTGTGCAACCCCGCGGTCATGCGTGAGCACCTCACGTCAATTTATGTGCGACTACGTGCACGAGATTGTGCAACTTTGTGGCCATGCATGTGCGACTATACCGACGAGAGTGTGCAACTCCGCGGCCGGGCGTGACCAGCTCTCATGACGTTTCATGTGTGACTATGCCGACGAGAGTGTGCAACTCCGCGGCCGGGCGTGACCAGCTCTCATGACATTTCATGTGTGACTATGCGGACGAGATCGTGCAACTCTGTGGCCATGCACGTGCGACCACGTCGAAGAGAGTGTGCAACTATGCGGCCATGCGTGAACGCCTCCCAGGACAATTCATGTGCGACCATGCACACGAG